CCATCATAAATAGCAGCATTCACTCCTTCATCCGCGTGTACAAACCTACAATACGGCTCCTGAACGCGTACAACGCCGCGTGTGACTCGACTGAAGTGTGCGACCATATATTAGTGAGTTTCTTTGTGCGCGTGACGAAATGACAAGAATGACTTATTTACCCAGGAAAGCGACACTGAGGGCAAAGACTCCTTTCTATCATGAGGGTCCCGTGTTGTTACGCCGTTTTATTAAGACGTTTTCGGTCAATTGGTGAGTGTTTATACACGTGGGAGGAATACCAGAGCAACCGGAAAATACCAACGCGTACGAGGGGGCAACACTGTATCCCCGTACAGATGGGACAGATGAATAGTCGTCCACATTTGCTGTACCGCCTTCGCCTGGCAAGCCAGGGTTATTGGCACCTTGATGCACAGCGGTGAAGGGAGTTTCTAGAGACAATCCACCAACCCTCGCTGCTGCTACCGCCACAGTGCTGGATGATGCCACGGGCGTGCGTCGCCACCACCTCCCGTTGGAGTGGAAAGCCGGAGTGGAAAGCCAAAGTGGATCGACCCAGTTTAAAAAATTGTTTAAACAGGCGGTGAGAACTCAAGAGACCAGGATACAGTTTGATTTGCAACAGTGAAGGTGGCTCACCAAAATAAGGAAAGCCAAAAAAATACAATAAAGTAAAAGCAATGAAGCAAACATAAATCAGTACAAAAGCAACGGTTTCACATGAGAATTGAGATATATATATTACGCAAACATAAATGGATGTTAAGGGATACATTCCCTCTAAGCGCAAGTCGGCTTGGGAAGATATGTTTAGATTGATCATGGCACAATTACAAATTAGGTTGCAAAACATTAAACAGATATATAAGGTGACTATCACAGTAAGTAAAATAGCAATGTGCCTGAAGACTAACTTTTTCTAACAAATGCGTACTACCACTGATGTTAGTCGTGGCCTAGATTAGTGATGGGTTTTTGTTGTGTGTGCAGTCATTGGTGGCATCTCGCCATGCAAACCGAGACACCGATGTAATAATTCAGGGGTGGCTGAGGTCCGGATTCGAACTCAGCCTCTCCGTCGTACAGGCTCAGCCTTTCTGACGTGGCTATTATGAACCGCCTGAGCTGTCCGCCCACCTCCGAGGTTCTGTTTTTAAACCTCCTGTGTCAAGGTTCGTGGTTGTTCTTCATTGGCGTTGGGAGTCCAGACCTTCACCTGCGACTCCGCGCACTTTCAGCAATTCACGGTGACGCCGTGAATTTCTCGTTTTCAGTTATGGCCAGCGGGTCACGTAACCTATGGCTTGCTGCTCAAAGTAAACTCATAATAGCACTGCAGCGTGAAACGTGTATGTCCAGAGTGGACCAGATGTCTTGTGACCCAACTCTAAAACTTTATATATATTTTATACCAATGGGTGTGTAATGTAGTGGAATCAATATAAAATCATATAAAATGTTAGCGGTCAAATAGTTGGGGGGGGGGGTCACAGGACATCTGGACCACTCTGTACATCATCCTTTCCCATGGCGGTGTGCCTCGCGAGGATGCAGGCGGTGCAACTGCACCGCAGCCCACAGGCCGGCAGCTCCCGGGCGCCGAGCTACGAAGTGAGGGATCGATTTTCTAATTCCTTGTAGCATGGCCCTTGCTCACCATGCTGCATGCGCTATTGCCTCTAAGCCAGTGTTTTTTTCAGCGATTTCAGTTTGAAGCTTTCCGCGGAGGGCTCTTGTCGACGACAACAGGACCTCACTGCTGCATTTGTTTAAAAGGCAATGTTTTATTCCGATGAGCCTCAACACAGTCGAATCTGGTTAAAGCTTAATTGCGTGTTTCGGTGTGCTAGCATTATTTAAATATTGCACTCCGATCCCCAAATAACATGGATACTCCATCAGTGGTCTGGATTGACAGTTTGTATTCACACTTGCGTTACTCTCGGTCATGGGAACATGATGTGTGCTCAATGAATACAGCAAATGTCACGTTTGCTTTGACCAAAGGGCAACTGCACACACACACATGGGTGGGTGGTTCCATAGAATAAGTGGCGGTGACATCAGCACGACGATTGTGTCACGCTAGGTGAAAGGTAAAAGGTGCAATTGTTCACTCACGCCACTGCAAGTGGAAGGGCCTCCATGAAAGGAAGCTCTAGAGAGCATTTGGCCTACTCTTCCACTGTGAAAGGGTCCATGTTATGCCAGTTTACCCCGCTCTATCTGGCCAAACAAAAGCTTTTTGGGGCATGCGGTGGCTAGGCATGCGGGCTGCATGACCCAGCCAATTGCAGCCTCGGCTACCAATTAAGCTCATAGATGCGAATGTGCCCATATCTTTCAAGGATTTGTGAGCTCCTTGCAGAATCCAATCTGGTTAAACCAAGAGTGGAGCGTAGGTAGGCCGGCCTGAACGTTTCAAGTTGGCGCTGGTGTTTCTGTAAATGGGTCCACGTTTCGCAACGAAGAGAAGGGAGGGCATAATTACTCACTAGGATCTTCGTTTGCAGCTACAGGCCAGATGTTTCCAGAGGGTTATGTAGCTGATTAAAAGATGCCTCATATGATTGAGAGGCAGACCGCAGCCAGAGCTGACCATGAACGGACTGCTCAGGTGTTTCATTTTGGTGGAACTGATGGTAAGGGCTTACCTCTTCATTGCAAAACTCCAGCTGTAACAACAGTCTCTCACTCAATCTAGAGAGTGAGCAGCAGTTACCATGTCATTAGCATGCGTAACATGGTTGACCAATAGGGAGCCATCATTTGACTTCCCCCGGGAATCGACCAGCCTCCTATTGTATCTGTACCAGATGGACAGTCCTCTGACATGGTTATGAAAAGCTTCTCGAACTGCGTATCCAAACAAATAATAAAGAGTGTAGGGACCAGAGGACATCCCAGTCGCACCCCAAGACAAACAGAAAATAGCTCTGATTCCCAGATACGCAGGCTTATTATGGTCGCTATGAGGCTATCCACCATCATGAGGATGAAGTTCACGTTTATTTGTTAACCCAGGGTGAGAACTCAAGGGATCAGGATAGAGCCTCATTCGCAAAAAAAGTGACCTGGGTCACCAAATAGGCAAAAGAAAAACAATAAGGTACAGTGGATAAATAGATAGAAATCAGAGCAAAAAGTAACCGTGACGTGAGAAATCTGAAATACTCCACAAACTTAAATCAATGTAACAAAAATATGTATTCCCTGCAGAATAATCCGGCTCTTGTAGATTCCGTTTAGACTTACAGTACAATTGCAAATCAAGTTACGCGAAACATTAAACAACTATTGGGGTGACTTGTACTACTATTCTACTTTATTTTAACAGTTAAGGCCCACGGAGCTGTAGAGTTATTTTTTCAGAAGCGACCTGGCCACAAATGATAGCTCAACGAAGTGGATGATCATCATGTGGAAGTTTATAGCAGCCAGATTCTCAAAACACATTTGTCTAAATGTAGAGGGGAAATCCGGAGGACAGGGAGCACAATTCACACGACCACGGGAAGAGACACGCAAACTCCAAATATAGAGCAGGCGTCAGGGTCAGGATCGAACCCACGACCTCCTGTATACCAGGCGAGGTAGTTAACATATTGCTACCGCGGCCCCATAATATCTAATATGTAAACCGACGATGCAATTGCAGTTATCATAAAGAATCGACATTTCCGTGCTTCAGATGGGGAATTAAACGAGGAGATCGTTGATCGTGAGTGCACACGTGATTACAATGACCATACACAGGCGTTTAATAACCTGTGCACCCGCATTTCCTCTACGGAATGACGTTATGTTGTGGTCTGGAATGTTGATTTCACACACACACATGTATAAGGTGTGTTTGCCTTTGGGTCTGATCGTAGGGTTGCGCAATTGAAGCATGCCGATGTGATGACGGTACGAGTGTGTTGTAGCCACGAGGGAGACAAAGGCGGTCGGGCGTGGTGCTGGCCACCCACCCCTCTCGCGTGCCGTTCCGCCTTCATAAGTGCTCGCTAACAGCACTTGGCCCAACAGTCTGTTAAGGCTACACGGGAGATCTTGGTGATTGCATGTGTGCATGCACTCCTCTGTGTGCGTGTCTTTTCGTGAGTCTGTACATGCGTATATACTAGCTGTATACCAGTCTGTGTATGTGCGGACAATGGTTGCGTCTATAGGTTAGGCGAGTCTGTGTGCCTGCGGTGACTGCTCTCATCTGTGAGTCTTTGTGTGGGTGAGTGTGTGTATGCGTTCGTGCGTGTCGGATTCTATGTGTCTGCTTGTGTGTATGTGTACGTGTTGACGTCTGTAGGTGTTGACGTCTGTGAGTATGAATGCGTGGAATGGAGCGGTGGTGTAGTGGTTAGCGCGCACTGCGCCACGAACCTGACTACACGGGTTCGATTCCCGCTCACGGCCAACAGCAGTGGCGATTATCTGAGCCGGTTCTGGGCCTCCCCTAGGTTGACTCAGCCCTAAATGGGTACCTGGTTCGTTACGTTAACATTGTCACTGGGGAGACAAAGGTGGCCGAGCGTGGTGTTGGCCACCCACATCCTCGTGTGTTGTACGGGTCTTAATAGATGTTCGCTTAACAGCACTTGCCGCACCAGTCCTGTTAAAAAAAGCCTACACGGGGAATCTCTGCGTGCGTGTGTACGTGTCTGTATGTATGTATGTGTAAGTCTGTGTGTGTAAGTCTTGGTGTGTGCATGTGTTTACGTGTGTCTGTGTGCGTTTCTGAGGTGCTCACAGTCTGTTATGACTATACGGGGGAACTTTGTATTTGTGTGAAAGTCTGTGTGTGTGTGTATAAGTCTGTGCGTGTGAGTTTGAAGTGCTCGCTAACAGCACTCGCCCCAACAGTCTGTTTAGGCTATACATGGTATCTTTGTGTGTGTGAAGTCTGTGTGTCTTAGTATCTTTTGTAAGTGCGTGTGTGCGTCCGCGATCGTGCGCTACGTGCTCTTCACCCCCCCCCCACCAAACCCACAGACCGAGCCTTTGGCCGCCTACGAGTAACATCCCTGCTACCTCCCGACTCAACCACTCCCCCCACCCCTCCAACCAACCAACCCATCGCGTTTTGCGAACCATTCCACTTTCAGAAGTCACGCCGGAGAGGAGGAGGAAGACTCGAACGGCATCATCGACATCACAGTCATCATCATCATCGATAACCCCTTATCACCACCAGCAGCAGCAATGACCCAGTCATCACCGCTCCAAGTTCCTTGAGTTGGTTCAGCAGCCGGCGTCTTACGCGGCCACGTCACCAGTAGCAGCCACAGCAGCATCATCATCACCACCACCACCATCAGCAGCAGTCGTAAGTTGCGAGTGAATTTCGAACGATTTGCCCTTCTGATTTGATGTGTGTGTGTGTAGTCGGGTTAGCAGTACTCTGGATTTGGAGTTCGCCGGCTGGGTTTGATCGCCCGTTGCGGCAGCTGGAACAATGGGCGCGTGTTTTGAAATCACTCCCCAGCCACCCCTCCGCCACTTTACACTCGGCAGTATAAATGGATAACAAGCGCAGGTGGTGTGTGGTGGGGTAAAGTGTGGGGTAAAGTGTGGGGTAGTCCCACCTCTTCAACGACGTCACCTCGTCAACGACGTCACCTCTTCAACGACGTCTGGCCAGCGTGGAAAGTTTTGCCAAAGGTACCTTGTAGAGGTCTCTAGAGAGGGCGGGGGGAGGTGACTCAACCCATCATCCCTCCGGGGTCGATACAGTGAGTAGTAAATACTACTTTGTGGGGAAGTCAACAGTGGTTGTCCTATGGACAGACTCGCCCCCGTCGGAGAAATGTGGAATTCCCATCGCTGCCTCAGGGCTGTGGACAGGAGATGAGCAACCAATGCCTCAATTCACGTTCCGATTTGTGTGGCCATGCGTGTCGTCCTTTTGCGGTGGATGTAGACAATGAGTACTGGGGAGACAAAGGCGGCCCGGGTTATTTTGCATTCCGGCCACACCACCGCGCCTCGTGCGCCGTGCCAGCCGGCATTCGTAGCTTCTCGTGAACGGAACTTGCCCCCTAAAGTCTGTTAGAAGACTTGATGGGGTCGGCATCTTTGCAGGAGATTTGTTTCGTTTGTCACAATCAGGTCTTTTAAATGCGGCACTGCGCTTGCTCGTAGGACTGTCTCTGTACTGCAGCCACGGATCGCTGATGAACCTTCATCATGCAACAGGCGGGTTCCGCGTTCATCGTCTATGGATGGCCCTGCGTGCGACCGTGTTGAACTTCTTTCGCACCGTACGCAGCCAACCGTGGTGGAGCGTGGTTATACCTCTGGTATACTGACGAGCCCGCATAACGACAAGGACACGTGTTTTGTTCCACAGTACTTCGGTGGGTTCTCCTTGGCAGTCTATACAGTATATATATGGAGCTGTTCTCACTGATGACTGTGTACATGTGCATCCCACTGGTCAATCCACTGCTGGATGAGGGCCTCCCCACGCCGTGCGGGTTGTTGTGGGGGTGGAGGTTGGTTTGCCAGATATGTAGGAACATCGATGTCCTGTACAGCACAATAGATTTTGGAGCTCAGTAGCCTCAAGCCTACTTAGTTTCGAGATAGCACGACGAGTGATTGACTCGAAGGTGAATGTATAAATAACACGTGCAAGAATATTATAATAATTCTACTAAGCAATTAATTGGCATGCTTATACATAGCGGTGTGTCCGTTGGGGTAATGTACATCACAACTGTGCAGTATTATTTATAAGTGTTATTTATTTCCGACGCTTTGATAATTACCTAAGGAGGTCCCCTCTGAGTCTCAAGACTCTTTTCCAGGAGGGTCCTGCAACGGTTTTTTTTGTTTTAGCATTGGAGGGCGCTACAATCAACTTTTCTGCGGTGTAATTTTGCACAATTTGCCAAGTTTGAACCGTGACGTCCCACACACAATGGCCTATTTGTCTTCCAATGGCCTCACGGTATTATTAACGTCCACCCCGGGGTTTACCGGGCGCTGCGGTGGCGAGGAGATGTTAACTACTTCGCTTGGTATACAGGAGGTCGTGTTCTCTCTCTCTCTCCCCGTGGTCGCGTGGATTTTTCTCCGGGTCCTCCGGTTTTTACCACCACATTTAGAATAGACACGAGTCTAGAATCTTTGGCTGCTATAAATTTCCACGTGATAAGCCACTTCATTGAGCTACCATTTGTGGCCAGGTCGCTTCTGAAAGAGTTATTATAGCTCAGTCGGCCTTATCTGGTAAAATAAAAAAAATAGTGAAGAGTTTAGTTTTATTATTATCGATCAATACTCACGCAGGGTCAATACTCACGCAGGGTCAATACTCACGCAGGGTCAATACCTAGGGTCAATACTCACGCAGGGTCAATACTCACACAGGGTCAATACTCACGCAGGGTCAATACTCACACAGGGTCAATACTTGCGCAGGGTAATACTCACGCAGGGTCAATACTCACGCAGGGTCAATACTCACGCAGGGTCAATACGCAGGGTCAATACGCAGGGTCAATACGCAGGGTCAATACGCGGCGGCCTTCCGGATTCCAACCGCGAAGCCTCTGCACGTTGCGGTCAGGGTGCTTCAGAAGTAACACCGCGAAAGTGACCACTAAACCCAGGTGGCCATTGCAGCGGACCCGCGTGCATTTTCCTTCTTGAAAGCCTAAAACTACAACACACTAGCACCGTGGGCCTTGCCAGCAGGAAATGGTCATTTCCTGTGTGCTCCCCCCTCCCTCACAAAAACGGAGGGTGGGGGGAGGCTCCCCTCTACTCCGTCCACTTGGTGTTTTTGTTCACTTTCACAACCACCAGTCACATACAACACGCGCGCCTTAATGCTCATGTGGTCTACTCGTGTGGGGCCGTGGGGCTGGAGGTCGGGGTTCGTAATGGCCGTGTCATAGAGAGGGTGATATTGCGTTTCGGTGAAGTCATTGCTGACCGGGCTGAGACCATCAACTCGCGACACTGGCGAACCCGGTTTAAATCACAGCTTGGTCTACGTAGATCTACGAACCTCTACGGAAATCGCATTAGTCTCCACGTGAGTCTATTAGTCTCTGTGTAAATCTGAGTATGGAAGGCGATGTGGATTTCTCAACCTGCTGCCCTGCCAAAATGGGTTTAAATCACAGCGAGTCTATGTAAGACTCTGTGTAAATCACTGGGGACTGGCCTGGTACCAAAACATTTGCAACACTGGGTAATCTATCGTTTAATCGTAAACTGTTGCCTCGATTTGAATCCAAGGCATCGATGGTGCCAGCTCGGGGCTGGCTCTGACCTCCAAGTCACCCTCCCCCATCCCCACCGCTATAATATCCTTCTAACATCGCATGGCAGATGTGGCTTTATCCTCCTTCGCCGATGGACAATCAAGAATAGCCCACAGAGCGACTGGCAGTCGCCAATCCCAAACAACTGACCACACAGTAACGCCACTGTCCGCTTCGGTCATTTTAACTCGGCAGGCGTCTCAGTGAGTCTACGTGTTTCTGCCTAAGTCTGCCAGCCTCCATTGATGTCTATATCTGATGCCGTGAACGACACAGCGACGCCACTCACTGCCCACTTCCATCACTCATCGGCAGAGTTTCAGATATTGACCAGGCCCTGTGAGTCTATGCAACTCTGTGAGTCTATGGATCTCTGTTTAAGTCTCTTCACCAGGCTACTACTCCTGAAGCCATCCTCTGGCTCACTCACCAACCTCTGGCTCACTCACCAACCTCGACATGGCCATACACACACCGTTGATGAACTCGTATACGAAAGAAGAAGTGCTTATTTAAAACGAAAGGCATTCCATGAGTCTATGGGTCTCTTTGTAAGTCCACTAATCTAGACAGTCTATATAGATATTTTTGATGAACTCCTCACCATACAAAATAATATGAATATACTTCTTGGGCCCTCATAGCTCTCCCTCTCCACCACAGCTTGTTCCTTTCTAAGTTGGTAAAATATAAAAATGTTGTCCATAAGTTGGAATGTTCGGACAATGGGGTTTTAGTTGTTTTGCTTGAAATGTCCAGTCCAGGACTCAATTTCAGGAGGGTCCTGCGGCATTGGGCTTTTTTGTTGCTTTCAGATGTTTTCAGCCAATTAATTTGTGAGTGCATTATTTATACGAGCGGGAAGAGACCGAAGCATCCGGAGAAAACCCACGCGTGCGAGGGGGCAATGCTCAATCCCCGTTAAGATTGAAACAGACGGCGATTAGTGCGCTGGTTGCAACCACCTTCTCCTGGCCATGCCCGGGTATGGCAGCTCCTCGTCGCCCACGGAAAGGGAGATTCGCATTTGTGCGGTGATCCACCAACCCCCTCGTCTCCACAGTGCTGGATTACAGGCCACGTGCGGAGCCATCATCGCCCGGCTTTTTGTTCCGCAGACAATATGTGTGTGTTTATATATGTGGGCTATATACACACTCGCACACCGTGTAGAGTAATGGTTCACTAAGAGAGTTACATCATAGCTTGTGGTTATGTGCAGCCCCCTTTTGTCAGTGCCGGTGATGATGTTAACACACTGCACCAGGTACTCATTTCGGGCTGAGTCAAAGGGAAGAAATAAACTTAGGATGCGCAAGGATCTTGAAGAGTGAGGGGCATATGAATTAGTTGGCATCAGCCCCATTGTTGTCCTTCCCCCGCGCCTCCGATTAGCACGGTTGGCTGTGCATGGTGCGAAAGTAGTTCAACGTACATGCATTTACTAATGACTAAAAAATTTTTTGTCACTTAATGTGGCAACCTAGGACAGGTGTGGAACACGTTTAAGTGCAACACTAAATAAGACACTGCTACTGATGTGTTTCAGTCCTTGGGAGTTGAACGCACGTGTTTGTGTGTAGTGTACAAGGCCGTAATTATAATATATATTCAAATATGCTCAATGTCCCCCTCAATATATTGCTATAAAATAGATTGCTGTTCATATGATTGTGGTTATGGTTGTACTTTATTAATTCATAATCTCTGCCATTACATACAATGAAACAAGAAAAGGTAAAAATAAAAAAAACACAGAGCAAAGTAATACACTACACTATTAGACATTATTGTAAAAAAAAAATCCATCCTATGTGTTAGTGAATGTTTTAAAATTTTAGGCAGAAAATTTGTTTTCAAATTTAGATTTTTTTTCTCGGGCCCCCCCCCCCCCCCCCCCAATGTTGACTCCATGGCTACGGCCTTGGTAGTGTATGTGCTTTTGAGGCTGAGTAAACCTTGGAGAGGACCAGAACAAGCTCAGATGCCACACATATATCGCACTTGCCGCGTTTGCTCCCCATGGCTGGTAATTGAACCCACATGTATG